AGATTTCACTTACAAAGTAAGAAATGTCAGTTAATCATAAGCAATTGGACATCTAAAGTAAAAATAACAACACGTTACAATTTTAAATGAGAAAGAAAAGCTTTTCAACAAAAGCAAAAGAAATACTACTTTGTTAGATATTTAATCTACTTCCACAATTATAGCAAACTTTCAACTGCATCATGTATCTCAATGCTTAAAACTAAATGTTCTGGTTACCTGGTTCAGGGAAATTTTGCTGTATAAAGGTACAGAGTCCTTGCAAAAATAGGGAAAATTAAATATACATTTTAAGACTTTTCTGCAGAGACAGGGAGATAGCATATGTCAATATTCACTGTTCTCACTAAGTCCTCACTACAAAATGTTTTTATCTCTAAAAGTAAGTTGCACAGTGGAGTTTTGCTGTTAAAAGATTAACTCTTGAGAGGTGGTAAGCACCTGCTTCTGTGCTAAGTCAGCAGAACATGTGCCTGCCTTGAACATGCCAGGTCCAGGCAAGTGCAATTAACTCAGTAAAACTTTGTAAAGCTGAAAGCTCTTCTAAATGGGGGTGGGGTAGAAGACACTTAACATCATGCCTAGGGCATCTTACCATGCATTTATTACCATCATAAAATCCTAGCACTGATAAAACGTTTCATAGAAGATACCTGCCAGCCAGTCGTCTCAAAAGACATTTTTCCACCTCTCACTCATTCAGGTAAGGGAAGTCTATGGCCTTTCCAGAACCCATCACACGTGTTCCTCTGCAGGTCGGAGGTTGGGAATCTGCATCTCACCCCACTGGAGCAGAGTGGGCAGCCATGCAAACCTCTTTGTGCTGAGCCAAGCTGTGGTCACTGCCTGGGGAAGGCGCTGGAGGGATGTCAGAGAGGAAATAACACCAAGCACATGCACTCGAAGGTAAGCGGCAGCTTGGAAAATAGCAACAGCAAAAGAAAGAGAATGTGATCTGGCATGGGAAGGCGAGCGCTGCTGCTCAGACCCACACTTCTCGCAGGCTCGACTGGGAGAGCGGCACGTGCCGTACTGTCTGCGGTGCAGGGCAATCGCTACGTGTTTACACTCCACAACATATTGAAAAGTATTTCTAAATGCACTATGGTTTGGTCACTGCCGCAGAGGAAATGCAAATATTCATCTTGCAAAGTACAGGTGCTATCCTAGGAAGTCATGGGTTCCTCTTAACAGTATTAACCAGATTTTAAAACAGAAAGTATTTATCACTTGGGATTCCAGACCTTACACCTTTCTGCAAGGCAGGCAGACATTTCTCCATCACCCAACTTCCATACCCAACGAGTCCGAGGAGGAGGACGGGAGGACTTAGCCTGTCATGTCAGACGTGCTCTGCTTCTGGGGCTGCAGGTGCAGGGTAGGTGCTGCAGCAAGAGCCATAACCAAGTACGAGCCAAAAAATGATGCCAGAAGGAGCTCTGTGGATACCCTCTTTCCTCCTTGGACATCTCGGTATCTCTGTTTTCCAGACTAAGCAAGGGCTGTGACCGTGCAAGGATGCTCACCTCTGCCTGCCCCCAGCCCATCCTCACTTTGGTCTGATCTACCCTGGAGCTGGCGGAGAACTTCCTTCTTCTCTTGCTGCACATGAATTTTGACCACAGTAGCGAATCTGCCTCACCATTTTCACATGAAAAAGTACTATGAAATATCTAGTCTCCTGGTGGAAAGTCTTATCTGTTAATATTACAAATCTCTACATACCTCACCATACTAGAAATGTGGGTTTTTTTTACAGCTGAGGTGTTCTGTGCACCTTTTGCCCCTGCCCTTACTGGATGCACATCACCATGTTTATAATTCTCCACACAACCTTTATTCCTATATTCTGGCAAAGACCATCAGTGTTCACAAATGCAGAGTAACTACTGGCAATTACACTGCCAACACAACCCTTCAAGAAACGTACAGTGTATAATACCTGCTGCTTATACTTCTTTTATTCCATAGTACCTGGGGGTAGCAGGCCATCAGAAAGGCCATCTGGCTCCTATTTGTGCAAATGGTGGTTTGTGGGTTTACACTTTGTATGCGCCAGAGGGATTTTGGAAGGAAGCAATTCAGCGCTTAAGCATGTTTCATCATTTTGATGTATGACAGGGGAAATATGTATAGTTATATATGCCCAAAGAGATCAGGAAAATTATTTTTAAACTGAAACATTCGATGTTTAGACAGCATTTATACAATTCCTCTTAAACCGCTGTTTTCCTTTTTAAAATTAGCATCAGTGTTTGTTTCCTGTGTGAAACCTGATTTTTGTCTGCCCAATTAAAGTGAAGATAAATGTGACAGGAAGCTGTTTTGAATACAGTACCTCAGCTGCAGAATAGAGCTTCTCTGAGTAATTGAAATGAAAGTCGGTATCAGTAAAAATAAATTGCACAATTCAGTTGTGGCTGGAAAATTACTACCGCTATTGGCAACTTGATGCAACTATTTCTATTACTTTCTATTGCATGAGGTAAGGTAATAAATACTTCATAAGAACAGTAGAGCAAGCTTTATTTTATTCCATATTGTGGATATCAAACAATACTGCTAGCAAAAGATTGCCTCTAGGGCAGGAAAATGTTTTATTCTCCGCCCCTGCACAGTCAGGAGTCTTTCTGCTGGTTCTGCCAACAAGGATGCCAATTAGTGTCAAGTAACATTTTGGTACTGCTGATGAGACACGAAACAAAGGGAGCATAGTATGGTGAAAGGAATTTACTGTACTAAGAGATAGAAAAATAGCTTTTTTTTTTTTTTTGGTAATCGGACCTAGAAATCAGTGAGACGAGGGGAAAAAAGTGAATACCACTCCTGCAGTTTTACAGTTTATATCCCAAATTATGGACTGGGAGTTCTCATGTCATGCTCCCTTCTTAGAGGAAGCCAGCATTACATCAACCTTCAAAATGCACAGATCGTATCCACTTGCTAAGGTGAACCCCAAACCAGCTCTGTGTTAATACTACTGGTACTTTCATCGATATTCCTAACGCTACCTAGATAAATAGTTTCAGTGAAATCCAAAGAATGAAATCTCCCGCTGAGGAGCATGCACAAAGCATGTCCACTGGTGAAGATAAATCTCAAGGACATCACTCAGTTTTTCTTTATTTCCAGCTTCCCCATCAAGTCAGTGTGAAATCCCCATTGAGTTACCTTTGCCCCCGTAAAAGCGGAGTGAGGAAGATGACAGCACCTTGGAGTGAGAAGGCCACTTCCTCAGCAATCAACTAATTCCCAGTGCCCTGTCTGTGGTCACTTCATGAGTGTCAAGTCTCTTTCTAAGAGAGCACTCTGCATGTGTTCTTGACTGCTAGAAGAAGATGGGCAGGGGATAAATCTGCAAAACTGGCCAGGGCAATCCATAAGGGTGAGCAGGGCCAGTGTCGCTCAGGAATCCCCCCAGAAACCTGGCTTGATGGGGGCAAAATTATTTCCCTGCCAAGGTGTACTGCTGAGCATTTGTCTTAGTTAATGGAACAATGTTTGATCTGCAATAAAAGCCACATCCTGACTTTCTTAACTCTGCAAAGACTTCAATAGCAAAGTAAATCCAGCTTTGCACCAAATGTCAAGTCCGGACTTTATTTCCTCTGCAAAAACATCAACAGCAGCGTAAATCTCACTTCTGTCTTTTTTTTTTTATTATTTTTTTCAAGAAAGTTTACCTCATATATAAGACACAGAAAATGCTCCAGTAAATATAGGAATGAAATCATTGCTGCTATAAAAAGGAGGGGTGGCATACCTTCCCTATCCATCAAGCTCCATGCAGTTGGCACCCTATAAATCATAGGAAGCACAGGAGTAATTATAGAACTGGAAGCTGATTACTGTAAACATTCAGAAGTAGCTCCTGGTAATTGGAAGCTAAAGAGAATGTGAGCATGATTACAACCACGAAGGAGCTGTGCAGGTCACTTATACCCCTATTTTTCTCTATTCCTTAAAACAAAGGAACAAGCAACCTAGTCAATCTAGCACCTGGTATATGAACAATCTGTTACTGTCGTGAATTGTTTGTTCTCTGTCAGAATTAGTGTTGATGTGACAACATTGGGATCACCAGGATCTGATTACTTTCCCGTTGTGCATTAAGCAACATAGCTTAACAGCTTCTGCCAGCTTGTTCTGTCATCTCCTGGCACCCCTTCATCACTTCTAGAGGCACTGCAATGCATTTACGATGGAAAACACCTGGTCACAGAAGGGCAACGTGCACTGACAGTAGATGATGACAACATGTAACATGGGCTTTAGTACTGGGGGTGTTCATTTTTTCACTCTTGGGACAGTACAGAGAGAAAACTCTGTCTCCTCCACCCTTAACAGAGGGAGCTCCTTGGTGAAGGTGCATCTGCCTGACACATTGTGCTGGACCATGAAGAAATATTCAATTTCTTCCTCAAAGAAGTTGCACCACTGGCACAAATATAATAACACTTAAGCCGAAAGTGATACCCTATTCCTTGCCCAAACATACTAGAATGGCTCTGCAACATGACCAAGGGGGAAAGTTGCTTTTTCTGACACCAGATTGTGCTCTCCTCCTGTCCTCAAGTAGGAAGATATACGGAACCTGTCATTTTTATTCTACATAGAGAATTTAGTTTATTTATGGCTCTAATCCCTACTTGATCCTTAGAAAGCTATTTACCTCACTTATACATGTCTCTCATAACAAGTTCTACAAGTTAATTACCACAAGTGTAGGAGCATCGGTTTTCATCCACATCCTTATGTTGTTATAATACAAGCCCAAATTCTAGCTGTATTCTGCATTTGCACGAGAATTTTCAGAACTAAAAATGAGCTTTTGAAAAAGCCACCCTTTTATTTAAAAAATGTCACCTAGACTCCTGTCTGAAATTATTTAGAACTTGGGCATACTATGACCAAGAAGACAAGAGCCTCTCCACATGATTTCACCTGAAGAAAGTGCTACAAAAAGTGTAGCTTTTGCTACCCAGCAGTAAGTTTCTCACCATGCTGTATAATCCCGTGCTCCAAAAGTCTGCGGCCAAGCTGCTCTGCTTCAGCCCGTGTCGTGGCCTCTCCTTCCTGGATCAGCCAGTCAATGAACTCCGATGCCACGAAGGTCCGTTCGTACTTGACTCCTTCCTCTTCCCTGGCTTGCAGAAGAGTATTTTCAGAACTCATTAGCCTGGTATGGGGGAAAAAAAATTGGTAGGAAAAATGGTTCTTCAGAAAAGCAATTCCAAATCTAGTCTGGCAAATCTCACTAATATTAAGCAAACACAGGTGAACCTTTCACTGACTTACTAAATCTTTCCTGAAGCTAGCAATCTAAACTTAGGATGTGAATTAAAACTGCTTAGTCAAGACATTTAGGCTTTCTTGGTTTTAATTAATTCTAAATAACTAAATTAATGTTTTCTTGTTTTTTCTGTAAAAGAAAACAAGCTTTTTCAGTTTCACATTTCTCCTATTTAGTTCTTTAGCTTCTCTGCAAGTTACTGTATAGTCAACTTTGAAAAAAAAATAGCCCAAAAGCACCAAATTGGGATTACTGTGTTCAAAAATTCCTGATTAATTTTTACAGTTAGCAGGACTATGCCCTGAAGTCATTTAGATGGTTTTGAAAATCCTCCCCATAAGCTCTAAAACAGCTGCAGAAAAATTCAAGAGGAAGAAGAAAAGGTAGTTCTGTGGTTTGGGTGGTTGATAAATATTTAGCACCTGACACTTTGTGATGCAGCTGCAATCAGTGTGTTACACACCTGAACACATTTAACATCTGAGTCTCGGACCCTCTGTGCCTCAGCTGGCTCCGTGTAATACCAGAGTTCAGAGGAACATCATGAGGTGTCTCTAAATAACCTACCAACTGGCAGGTACCTAGCTTAAATATACTAATAAAATTCTTCATTCAAGTAACCTATGCAAATGCACAGTATTAAAAAAAAAAAAAAGAAAAATAGAAGCTGTAGTATTTTGTTAATGCAAAAGTAAGGTTCACAGTTTGAAAGAGAAGACAGTTTGAAAGAAGAAGTGAGAATCACTCCCTTTTAATACAAAATCCCACTTTTTTTTGTTTCGTTGGAGACTGAGCACCATAGCCTCCTTATTTACTAATTTAATTTTTCTTCATAATTACTTTATTTATTATAGGTTAATAATAAGACTAGTGGTAAGACTCCCCCTTCAAGTTGCGCCAGGGGAGGTTTAGATTGGATATTAGGAAAAATTTCTTCACCGAGAGAGTGGTCAGGCATTGGCACAGGCTGCCCAGGGAGGTGGTGGAGTTGCCATCTCTGGAAGTGTTCAAAAAACGTGTGGTTGTGGCACTTCAAGACATGGTTTAGGGGACATGGTGGTGCTGGATTAATGGTTGGACTTGATGATCTTGAAGGTCCTTTCCAACCTAGTGATTCTGTGATTCTGTGACTTTCAGAATAATAGCTCAAGAATAGCATGGTTATTTTTTCCATGTTAAGAGTAATAAATACCCTCCCTTCACCAACTATTTCGAAATTAAGGGCACAACTGAACTACAACAGGAATATTCTGTAAGTGCTTAATCTTTGCCCTTCTGATAAAAAATTTGAATTTAATGTAAATCCATACATTGGCCATCTCCTTCTTAAACTGCCAGCATGTCCAGAGTTCACGGAATGTAACTTCACCTCCTTTGGGAGGCATCTGTGCCATAAGAACTGAGAGAGAAATTTAATTTGAAATTACAATGAAGAGGTTTGATAAGATCCAGTCCCTGTTATTTCACCTGAAAGATTTATTCCCTTGTCTTTAACAAGAGCTAAGCAGAAGCCTGAACTGACTGGAGCTAACCACCAGGCAGCAGATCATCAAACCAGGCAAAGGCTGCTCCACCACAGCTGTATGTCCGTGGCAGATATAATGAACTGCTTGTTTGGATGTTGGTGCGTCATTGCCAGCGCCTCCGAGCTGAGTAAGAACTAAGGAAGTCAAAATGAGCTGAAGTCAGGGAGGAGGCCAAAAGCAAGAGTATTTGCCACAGGGGACAAGGTATTGACTCCAGAACTCCTGCAAAGACTGTTCTTTTTCATACTTTGATTTACAAGCATCTGCATGCGAGGCAACATTTTGTCCCACACTAACCACATCTAATACAGACAGAGCTCCAAGGAACCATCTTTAAATGTGTCTCATTCACCAGGCTTTTTTCCCCACAGAAAAAAAAGCAAACCCAAAGCTCGTGTCTTTTCGTACCATCTGCTGCACAGTTACCCAGAATTGGTTACCCAAGCTGTGTGGGCACCAAATAAAAAATCCTTAGGATTGTGTTAATTGTTCTTTGATGAGTCTATAATTAGTTGACCAGCTCGCTGAAGTTGCAGATACAGAGGTACTTGAAAAAGAGCTGCTAATCGTTAAATTTTTTACAGAGACACAAAAGAAATTTGGAAAAATATCAAGTGGAAAAACACTCAGCCTGACATTTCACACCCTTCTGTGTGTGCCCAGAATAGCTCTGCAAAGGATTTGGACTTGTGAACAAACAGACATGACAAATTGACAGTTTAACAAACCTAGAAACAGCAATCCATAGACTTACATCGCTAGCTGAACTAAATCACTGCAACTCCATGGCTGTCAACAAAGCTATACCAATTTACATCAGCCAAAAACCTGGCCTTTCGCTAGCCAGAATCAGAAATGGCCTCTATCTCTTCCATTTTCTCCTTGTTTTGAAAAACATGAGGCCGTTCATGTCAAAACATATTATTGCTAAAACTGGTGTTGTCCTGCATTAAGGGAATGTATTTAGCCAAACACTGAAATTCAAACCCTTTTCAAAAGAAAATTTTAACCTTGTTTTATCTAAATAACTGCACCAGAAGATAAATTTAATTAACCACTGATGAGTTAAAATGAAAGTGATTCAAAGAATGCAGTCTCAGAATTATCTGAATGATACCCTGAAATGAAAACCGTAAATCTGCACTTCTATCTGGTTGAAAAATCTCAGTTGAAGTCAATGTCATGAGATGACTTATAGCTCCTAAACCTGACTGCACCAGAAAAACAACAATCCTGTGTGCCTGACCAAAGCCTACTGAGAATTGCAAACATCATAAAAATAGGATCCCTGCACAACTTGATTTTTTTTTTTAAAGCTGTGAGAGGTCTGTGCTGGATATACTTAAGTTTCGCAGGAAGGGTTTTGTTGAATAGGGAACATGTTTATCTCATTCGATCTATTTGGTCAGTCCCATAGAGTACGAAAACTGATACTATCTTTGGACCTAATAAACTATTCAACAGTTTTCAGACAAAGCTCTAGGAAAACTAGTGGGTTTCATCTCCAGTTATAAACTCGAAACTCAAAGCATGTTCACAGAAAGGATTACCAAAGTTTGCAATGATGTGTAGCGAACCTGAGCTGATTTATGATTTTCAGTGCAAAGGAAATGGTTTTGAATGTTCTCATGGCACAAATATAGCCACCAAAGATGTCCAGAGTAGGTGAAGGAGGTGATGCCACAAGAGAGGAGAATCCAGGGTACAAGAAGCTTTGTGGTCACACAGAAAGGAGACAGGGACAGGGAGCTCCTCACTGAGGCGGCAGACCTCGTGTTCCCATGTCCCAGGGCAGAGTACCGGGCATTTACCTGAAACAGCTGTCTGAATGCAGGGAACCTGCCTAACACGTCCATTCCTCTGCCCACGCAACAACCTGCTGATCCCCCTAAAGCATTTCGCTCATTTTACCCACTGAGGGTACCAGTCTGCGTGGACTGATGTTGGATAACACGTCTGTAATTTTTGGAAAGCACAAACTACACTGGCTTCTGAATGCAATGGTACTTCAGCCCTAATGCAATAGATGGAGAAGAGCAGGAAACAGTATTGTAATGTCTATCTTGATCTAGCAAAGCGTAGTGAAGATCAGCAACATCTACAAAATCTACAGATTTTTAAAATATGTTGGATTCAAACAGATTTCCTTTGGCATAGTTGCATTTCTTTTGACATTAGGCCTACAGACATTTTGATAAACAAGCTGAATATACTGGTGACTTCATGTTTGCGCATTAATACTTTTCTCCAGTTGTTGCCATTTAATGACTACTTTAATTGCACTGAATTAATATTTTCTTTCTCAACACTATAAGGAAACTGATACAACAGATGTATTACACATACATACATTTAATTGCAGAACTCTTTCTGTAGTAATCTGACTTTCAGTATTAGATTTTGAATTTAAAATGCATCCAATGAAACCGTAAAGGTGCTGCTAATAAGCATGCACGGACAAGGAACCTAATGAAATCTAAGAGCTCTGCACATTGGGTTTGCTACAATAAACGAAGTGAAGCCCAGATAGCCCAGGTATGTGTTCTTATCTCCCATGAATATGAAATATTTCCAATGATCCATGGAGAATTTTGACTAGCTTTGACTGTCACAGACTGGTTTTGAAATGCCGTGTATTTTTAGTCTATACTATATTTAGCACTCAGGTCTGGTTTTAAAAGTTTCTGAACCCTTTAGATACGTTGCCTAGGAGCAACCACCTCATAAGGATGTAGTTTTATTTAGATATAGGTGCTGCTTTTAGCGTTAACTCCTTTTCCAAGATGGGGACAATCTATGCTGTTATGAACATTTTTCTGCTAGTATAGTGCTGGACAAACTGGACACCAGACATTGGTTTCGAGATAGGTCTTCATGCAGAGAAATGGGAATGGAAGCAGACACTGGCAGAACAGAGTTCTGCCCACCGTGGCTCCTTTCATGCAGAGGACTGTTATCAGCCTCACCAAGAAAAAAAAAATATTTTGCTCACAGAAAAATAGAAATAGAAATATAGAAAACAAATAGAAAAAAAAGTTTGCTACTGTAGACACACTGATCAGCTTTTCATAGTACGGGCCAGGCTTGCAGGCACTGCATGTTACAGAGTCTAAAGGAGCAAATGCTGTGCTTGGTAAGGCACAAGAGATTTTGGAGAAGAGTGATTCAATTCATCTGTCCCAGTGCATCCAATGAAGGATTTTTTCCAGTGGTGTATTTTCTTGTGTCTTATACAATTTATTTTTTTTACTTTAAATAGTCACGGTCACTGAGTCTCAGGGAATTTTCTCTGATGGGTGTAACAAAAGGAGTGGCATTTACAATTACTGGTTTATATTTCTATTTAATTGCGCCTTCACCAAATTGACCTTCAGAGCCTTCTAACCTTAAAAACAGTATTCATCGTTAGCTTTTAAACTTGGGATTGTCCTGAGTGCTTTATTCTAAGATGGAAACAAAATTCCTCCAGCCAGAAGACACAGCATCTCTCCTGGCTGCTGCATGCTTCTGCTCTAACCAAGCAGGAGAGTGGGTGGGATTCAGTCTGGAGTAGTACTTCAAGCTTTTTGGTAAATAACATACCACAGCTTTTACATTAGTTTGTAGCATATGCCAACATGCATTTTATTCACTCTGCTTGAAAGTACCCCATCACAATCTCTACATCCGGAATAAAAATGTCATTAATTATAGATTGGGAAGTACAGTTAAGGTGCCTAGTTATTTGACGGAAATAATCCAGTGGGATACTCAGTATCTCAGCATAATCATAGGTTTCAAACCTTAATTAGATGTTCTTGGCTGGGATTTTTTTGAAACTACCTTTAATATAACCTTTCTGATTTAGAAGCTTTGGAGGCTGGAACATTGAAGATTAATTTCACCTGTTATTTAAAATCATACCTCCTAGTGAAGATACGGAGTCTCAACAGATATGTTGCCACTTGTTCAGTATATGTTGATGTACTAAAGGTTTAGCAATTACAATTGTGATTATAATTTTACATGACAAATAATCCATTAGTAATTTTTTTTACAGAGTAGAGTTCAAGGGCTTAAATTTACATTGGGTTCTCATATAGAATGTATTTATGACCCAGAACTAAGAAAATGCAATTTCATTTTAAACAAAATGCTACAAGTGAAAATGGTAGAAAAGTGAAAGGGAAATGGGAGAGAGAGAGAAGGATTACCAAATAAAGTCACGGGATTACCCAGACCCATTCCTGCACGATTTGAAAGACTCTGGCTATTCAAAAATAGATTAACAAGTATCATTTGCCTCCTGTAGTACTATTAGCAACACATTATGGATACTGAATGCAACATACTTTTCATACAGTCTTTGTCCTCTCATGAAGACCTTCACCTCATTGTCCAGTGGAAACGTCCCATCATCTTTTCTGAAGCGGTAGAACAGTTTGACATCCTTGAATTCCTTATGTTCATCACAGACTGAAAGGTAAAATAAAAAAAAATCATAGGGATGTTAAGGAGTTGAGGATCTATTTAGAACGTTTCACTGTTGAACTTCAAAGCAAGCACGTATGTGGCCTAACCCCCCGTATTTCTGAGCATACAACTTTATTCAGTTCTAATAACTGATGAAAGGCTGGAGAAAACTTTCAGATAGGTATCCAGATTTCTAGGTGAGGGGGATAGGTGTTCATCAGCTTTCTGAGTATTACTGCAAACATATAAAGAGCAAAAAACCATCCAGCTGCTATATACCCAGAAAACCTTTTGATGAAAAGTCTGTTAGCTTGTTTGTTTTGAAGGTCACCAGTGTAGAACACCCAATAATTTAAGGATTGGCAAATTTCTTAAAGTTACTTGTATCAGTTGAGTGATGCTGTAGGAAATTGAGACTTGCTGCAGAAACAGTCAAAATCAAAGCCTTCTGTCCTCTTAAATTTGTCTCAATTGCTCTGCCATACCAGCTAGCAAATGGTAGGTACCACAGGAGCACAGTGCAAAATGCTAAATAAGGTTTATAGAAGAGCAGCTGACGATGGGCTCCTGTAAATGCAGAACAGAGCTCCAGCAAGGGCACAAATTAATGGGAAAGATATCCCAACCAAGCTGCTCCTAGCAGAGCTGTCAGCCCACGCACGTGGGCTCACTTGCACCACAGCAGCAGGAACTGGTACCCCTTTCACTTGACATGGGATTTGAAAGGATGCTCTGAGCACCCTGCAGAACCTGACTGAACCTCTCTGAATTTGCCTTACCTCACTTTGCAAAGAAATTTGTTAAATTTGAATGCAATACATGACTTTTTTTTTAAGAAACACCTGCTCTATGTGCAACATATACACGCACATATATATAAAATTTGTATGGAAGTTACAGGGTGCAATTGGATCCTGAGGTAGAAAATATTTGAAGGCTGTTAAAGCTTGAAGCAAGCACCCAGCAATAAAACAACTATTGCTCAATTAAATTAAGTCACTCAGGCAGCCACGCAACTCTTCACTGACATTTTCTCAATAGACAATTAAGTAGTCAGATTTGAATACCCTATAATTACCTTATTCTTTAACTACCTACCGTGCATCCCAGTTTCCATAACAACACAGAATTTCAATTTAATAGCCGAGCAGAAGCTGTAGAAGTGGCACTCATTCAATATGTGCATTTCTTCCTTTAATTAAGGTGGTGTTAATTTATTGCAGATAGCAGCAGTATTGCTGCACATACAGTGACCCCTGTATAAAGTCAACATTGGTTTGTTTGCAGTGGCTCAGTTTTCTCTTAAAAAAGAACTAAATGGTACATTTTGCCTTTTTGAAATGGGTCATACTATATGCTTGAAATCAAGGGCTTGGATCTTCTTTGTTTTGTGTACTTCCTAGCCTTTTGTGCACCAAAAAGCAACTAAATTCTACCACTGAATTGGAAATCTCCTTTTCATCAGAGTAAACTGTTATTCAACAAGCTGAATGGAACAGGTCTCAAATAGACAACAAGTTTAGAAGAAAACTAATCAGGGCACAGTTGGACCACTAACTTTCTTGCAGCTGTACCAGCACAAATGTTTGTGCAGCTGGTGTGAGGAACAGGGCCGGAGAACTAATCCACATGAGAAAAATGACCTTTTTTTACCGGTTGATTTTTCAGATGGGTTTTTCAACTGGAAAACTGTGCTCTGAGGAGCACGGAGGTGAGGGCAGTTGGGAGAGAGGGGACAGGATCCAGCTGGGGCTGCTCGGGAGGCAGGGAAGCAGCAGCACAGTCTCCAGTAACTTCCCCCCCTGTACTGACATGGGGAACGTCACTCCACAGCTCTTCAGCCTCTCTCCGTGTCCCTCAGGACACAGGGGACCTTGTGGAGCAGCACAGTTCAAGGGAGATGCTCCCTTTACGGCAGGGAAAAGATCCTACCTGTCCTGTACTTCACTGAAGAGCAGGAGTGGTATTTCCCTTTTTTCTCACAGCAGTCAATAAAATTTAGCGTAGAACTTTTTAGCAGCTAATATTGCACTTACCATGATGGATAATGCTGTGATCCAATAATTTCTGCACCAGTTTAATTGCCGTCTCTCGGTCGGAGGCCTCTTTATGGTCAATCAGCCAGTCGATCAGCTCTTTGGCAACGAAGCAGTTCGGGTAGGTCTTGAGGTGGTGCCGCCGATCTTTAATGACCTTTTCTTCATGCAGTCGGAGCCTGGGGGTCAAGTGACTTTGTGAATATTGTGTGCAAAGAGTCTCTGTAACTAGCAAGACTGGGACAAGAGTGGAGCAGAGGCACCCGAGCCCTGCTCACAGGATGGGCTTTGCAGGCGTTGGATGGAAGAGGAAGAGACTTGGTCACACGTCCAGCGCTGGCGTCTGACCACCAGGCAACCCACAGCAACCATTTCCTACAACTTTAAACCCCATACTTGGAAAAACTGCGTTTCTGCCCGGTGGTAAAGATTAAAAAATGAAGAACAGTACAGCATACTAAGCCCATTAAAATGTTTCCTGTAGCCCAATTAAACTGTCAATAATTTGGAATTAATTTTCCCACATTACCACTAATAGGTTCCATGTTACTCTCTTATTTTGCGGTATCACTGCCGTAGTTGTTTTTTTTTTTTAATCTCATGCATTTTTTTAGTTGTAGTTTCTTTCTTGGTTGGGCAACTGCGTTTTGCCTCCAGCTGCACAGCAAGCATAGCATTTATGATTTAAAATTCAAGCACAAAGCTGTTCCAACTCAATGTTATCTAGCATAAAAAAGTTGCCTCCTACTCTAAATAAAGGGAGACTGATTTCTCAGTTGGGGAACTGTTGATAAATGCTATCTATCTGCAAAATCTGCCCCATCATCTTGAAAGCAAGTTGGTTGACTGGTTTTGAGACACTTGGGTCGGAATGCAAGATCCTGATTAGAGTATTACCTTGTTAGTGAAGGTTCTGGGGTTCTGCATCTTTATTTTTAGTAATTTTTTTCCAAATAAACAAAATGAAAACCATTATCAATAAATTAATGGATAGAGGTTTTTTAAAATTTTTTAAAGTTTTCTGCTTTCTTGTTTCCATTTTAATTAATACATTTAATAATTCTGGTTTTGTAGTGCTACGTCTATATAACAGTTCTGAAGAAAGCATAGAAACCACAACGCTTGGGCTCCTATCACAAAGAGAAATATTGCCATTCATTTTGAAGTGGCCAGGATCCTACTTTGTAAACAGTCTCACTAACTTCAAAGAAGTCCTGAGAAATGATATAATAATTGTAGGAGGTACGACTATCTCTGTTTTCTGGAGGGGGAGATAGCGCAGAAGGGCGTTACCATGAGCCTCAAGAAGCAGAGAACAGGAGTCAGCCACGAGACCAATTTTCCTCTCAATGTCATTCCAGTGTGAAACAATTATTTCTCTTTAGAATCAAAGAAGGGGAAACTATTTGGCTGAAATAAGTGAAGAAATATTATTAGGGCATTAGACAAGGCTTACGTAGGCTTCTACCTAAAAATAGTAGCAAAGGAATGTTTTTGTTTTGCAGCATTTAGCCTTGAACTACACTGGAATGCCCAATCTGTGATAAGAATTCAAAATCTGCTTTGCAAATGTCCTGATTTCAGCCAGGATGGATGGAGTTAATTTTCTTCCTAATACTTGTTATATTGCTGTGTTTTGGATTCAATATGAGAATAATGTTGATAACACACTGATGGTTTCGGTTGTTGCTGAGCAGTTGTGGTGCTTATACTCAGTCAAGGACTTTTCAGCTCCCCATGCTCTGCCAGTGGGGAGGTGCAGAAGAAGCTGGGAGGGGACATGGCCAGGACAGCTGACCCAGCCTGGCCAAAGGGATATTCCCCACCATATAACGTCATGCCCAGTATAGAAACTGGAGTTGGCTGGGGAGTGGGAATTGCTGCTCGGGGACAGGCTGTCGATCAGCGAGTGGTGAGAAATTGCTGCATTGGGCATCACTTGTATATTCCTTTATCAATAATAATAATAATAATAATAATAACAACAACTCTCCCTTTGCTGTCCTATTAAACTGTTTTTATCTCAATCCACGAGGGTTTTTTTCCACTTCTCTCCCCCATCCCACCTTGGGCAGGGGGGAGGCAAGTGAGTGGCTGCACGGTGCTTAGTTGTTGGCTGGGGCTAAACCACGACAACAAGTATCATTAAAAGATGAAGACTTTTATATTAAAACCACCGATAAATCAGATTAGTATTCTGGAAAGAAGTGCTGGTAAATATCCCATGCATTGTGAAATTCTCTGAGCTAAAATACCTTTGCTTAAAACATATTTTCCAGATGTGCTCTAACAGCTGTTGCCATACTTAGAAAGAAAAACCTACACAGTTTTAATTACAGAACATGCAATTATCAGTATGTTTGGCTGAGCTTTACATTTAAAATATACTCCAGGTCCTGTTAATGTTCATCCAGTTTTAAGTCACACAATAATCTGCAAGAACAAAAATATGAAAAATATGAAAATACATATGCAGACAGCTCAACCCACCTTTCAGTCATCAGTGTAAGTCTAAATGGATGCAGTACATCTAACACAAGAGGGAAGCCCCCTTCTATGAAATTCTTTGTCCAAACACCACGTAACAGTATGCCAGGACTGGTCTGGTATTCCACAAACAGGCCAGTAGCCAAGAGCCCCAGAACTGAGTATTTATGTCTTAAATTCTGACTGAAGGCTTTCCTGAAGTTGGTGGGCTTACAAATATTGCAAGTTCTCTGTCATGTCAAAAGACATGGGTTCCCACTAGAACCTTTTTGCTCACTCAGAGCACTTATAGGGTCTCACTATATACCTTTTTGCCTTTGTTCATAAAACTCATAGAAATCTCATTATCTTAATTATCTCCACTCACTTGCTGAAGTGGTTCCAAAGTTAATAAGAGGTTGCGAAATCATTGTCAAACAGAGCATGACCACATAAGCCTCAGGGAACCAGAAAAACCAAATTTATCCACAATTTCCAAATGGAAGTGGGAACTTTTTCTGCAGTCTATAACAATTGTATCCATAATGGATTATATCCAGGCTAATTTATTTGGAATAAAGAACAGAAAGGGAGTTCAGATTTTCTCCCTGGTGTATGCTGTTCTCTCTGTCAGGCCTCCCTCACCTCTACAAACATGCTAAAAATCAAACTGTATGGAGGAGAAATAGCTCAATAAATAGGATCTAGTGTAAACTACAACTACAAAAGCTTCAAGTAGTTAGTGAGCATATCTTGCAGTTTACAAATCAAAACTTTAGGCAGAAATTCTAAAAATGTGTTCAGAAATATTTATCAGGAGCCAAATCAAATGAGACAAAAAGAGGAAAAACGTAGCAATCAATGCAATTATACACTGGAACCAATACTCAAGTGAAGCGGTAAATTCTTTATCCCTTGGCACTAGGCAGCAGGCTTCTGACCAAAAGATGTTGATGTTTTCCCTTCAAGTAACATAAATCACTTTTCGTCAGCTAGTCCACATGATGACTGGAAAAGACCTAACTTGACACCAGTCACATTTCTCTTGCTAGAAGTTTTTCTCAAGAGCTACTTGGAGAATTAGCTCAAACAAACCTGACCACTTCGAGGGGAGAAGGGGGAGAAGACAGAAAGCAAACTACAAGGGCTGATGGGGGGACACCTTGATTCGACATGCCTTTGAAAAGTTGTCTCTTTCTACAACTTGGTAGCCTAACACCAGAAATAAACCTTGTCTACACCAGTACATCATCCGTATGTAATTCCCTATATTATTCAAGGTTACCTACCAGATTTGGCACTTGGAGCCACAGTCTCCCCTACCTGCAGAGAACGTGAGAACGAAAGCTTTTGAGCAATTTGCTGTGTACTGTAACAGGCATATGCAAACCTTTAATATTGAAAAATTTATATCCATGGCTCTTATTCATGCTTACAACAAATAAAGACAGTCTGTATTTGCATGTGTGCATGCCAGAACAGTTTTCTTGGGGGCTTGTCTAAACAGGAGTTGCTCCTAATTAAAACATGTAGGGATTCTTGCTCCACATAGAAGTGCCTTCCCCCTGTGTAGCATGGACTGGGCTAACTCGGAACACTCTGCTCCTGTTTTGCAGTAAATGTGTTCAGAGTTAATGAGGAACAACGTTATTTGTTGAGAGGCCGTTAGGCATTTTCTTTGCTAACTGTCAGAAAAGTCATGATAATGCAAAAAATCAAAATCTTTGCCTAGGACTGAAGAATCAGGCACAAATTGGGAAACAATCGCTGTCACAGCTACATGAAACTTGCATTTTCTTTTCCACCAGGGAAATTAGGTGTTTTGAAGTCTCTTGCATCTTTTTCTAAACCAATGGGTAAGGATTTTGCAAAGGCAGTGCCTGCACAAGAGTCTAGCTTTCCTTTTAAGCCCCAGAAAAGGCCAGCACGCTGGCTGAAGACAGTAATGATGTCACTAACTGGACCTTGGTCCAAATATCTCACCCAGCTATTTCCTTCTATTAAGACTAGTAGTTTGTGCTTGGCTAACATCAGTCTTGCAGAACACCATCCAGTCCTGATTTCTATGCATGAAAAGACAAAAAGCCTCCTGCTCTTCTTGGTAATTTTCTGAATAATTCATCTACCATTCCCTAGTACACCCTATATATAGTCCCTATGTTCATCCTAGTAAAAATGTACAGGGAACAGGTTGGTTCCTGACACGATAGGCAACATGATATGAAGACTTTCATACTGTGCTCCACTCATTCACCTCTTTTAACCAGTGAGATACCTTCCTGATGCAATGATACATACATATGATATATGTGTATATATATGTGCATGCATATTTATATATATATGAAATATACACACATATACAAATTATATATAATTTGTATTAAATATGATACATTTATATATACCATAGAACATTATATATGTTGTATGTTATATATGCACATAATATTATATATATCACAGAAAACATCATTATAGAATGACTTTTTTCACAGAATCACAGAATCTTTAAGGTTGG